TCGACTACCGCTTCATATAGGTCCTCGCTAGTCACAGTGGGGAGATTGCAGCCGCACAGTTTGACTTTACAGGAGACATTATGTAACTGGAAGCATTGACAGAACGTAACGGCTTGGCATAGTTGTGGTGAGGTTGTTATCCTTCCAATAGATGCAAAGTATGGGACGGTGATACAGGACAGCTATTGGACACTCTAAAGGGCCATCAGGACGAAGTGAGTAAAAGAAATCTTCTCAGTAGAAAGACGATGATGATCCTCTGTTGTAGGTCTTGGATGTTGTCTTTAATTCGACCGGCTCGAGAATTGCTACGGCTTCGGCTGATGGGACAGCGAAAGTGTAGGTATATACCCAAGTAGAAGTACTGAATACGTTGGTCATACTGAATGTAGCTGAGTGATGGCAGCGATAGGAGGACATTGGTGCTAGGTATGATATAGAGAGAGGCAGGTGCGTGGCGACTTTGGTAGGACATGAAAGTGAGATCTCTAAGGTAGTAATCCAGGCACCTTACTAGGTGCTTTGTATAGGATTGTTGTAGGTCCAGTTTAGTCCTACTGGTTGCCAAGTACTTACAGCTGCTAGCGACCATACCTGCAGGATTTGGGATTCTATTACTGGTCAATGCTTACAGGTACTAACAACCAGGAAGCCCACGGATGATGGTGATCATCCTGCTGCTACTGTCGTCGTCGTCGTCCCACTCAGGTGCTAGAAGGACACACTGACGAGGTCTTCAGCTGTGCTTACAACTACGAAGGTCTTGGTGGGGGTTATCTTGAACCCATGTTCGTCTATTGTAGGTGATATTATAATCACAGGGAGTAAGGACAATACATGTCGTATATGGAAGGACAATTACTTCAACGATCCTATAGGTGAACAACAATAAGTGTCAATAGGGAGATGAGATGATAACAAGTTAGCAGGTGCAGTGACAGAGGTAGAGGGAGCACCTCTGAGGCATGTTGAGGATCTGGAGGCTTCTGTGTAGCATGAATCTAACAGTGTCACAACATGATGATATCGTACTACTTTCGGACTAGTTCTCACAAGGCACTTCTCGTTTAGTTGGGAGGTAGTTATACGACGTAGTCCACTACGATCCAATTTCAACACCAAATGGAACGTTGCTTTGGTGCCTTTCAATGAAGGGAAAATCATTTACTCCTGGATAAGAGAAATGTTACTCGACATTGACACCCAGGCCGCCTGGACCAGGATGCTCTGGGATGTATTACTCAAGTAGGGCTATATGCTCCATCACAAGTACACCGATATTTGACAGAACTATTGTCTAGTACAACAGGTGGGGTTATGTACCTCAGCTGTTGACTGTAGATGAGTTGGCTTCCCGTATGTCTAAGTCTGGGGAATTGATCCTCTTGTTGGTCGCATGCCAGTTCCCAGCACTCTTACTCTATTTCTACACGCATCCATCATCAACTGACTGCTCACCACAGATTCAGGGAATAACTCACTCCATAGATGAAGTCCCCCAGAACGAGGGGGATCTCCTTATGAAGGTTACTATGTGGTCCATAGGTGATCACTACAATAGCGATTCATGCTTGGAGCATCATCATCATGCTTCCTTAATAACTCAGTAAAGAAACCTGGACAATGAGGGGAACCCTGCACTAACGTATGTTATAACAATATCCCACCGATAGTGTGAATTGAGATGATGATGATGACCGAACTTTAATATCAAACTACTACAGGGACAGACTCCTCAGGTCCGTGTATGAGAGTCTCGTGCATCATCGAACCTACTTGTAATGAGAACCTCATGACAAGTGAGTCATAGCTTAGTCCACTCTAACCCTGTATAAGTCAGTGACTCGGAGCGATGGATTGTGATGTTTTTATCCATATCTCGAAATCAGAGGACTATTTACTCGCAGCTCTCATTGTTCAGTATCAGGATCTGCAGATGGCCTCAGAAGAGTCTTCAATATCGGTCGATCAAACAGATAACAGCAACAGCATCCTGGCATGGTCTCCATACTCTCGTTATTGTCTTAGTCAATATGCTCGGCGAAGTGGCTACTTGTATTCTAGGACGGGTATGTTATGAAACCCATAATCTTGATCACTTCATCTAGATATCGTATCTTATTATCCGAATCATCATAGACCAATCAGGGCCCGAGACTCAGGCTCGATGGTTCATGGAAAACAGAACAGTTGGTATCATCATCATCATCATCATCATCATCATGTGAATGGTAGGAAGGTGTACTTGTTTATGGTACAGGATTGGTATGGCGGCGGCGGCGAGGGAGAGGCCATGCGGACAAGGGACACCGGAAGAACTGTTACGCATTGACAAGGAGAGTCTAGGAGGGGTGGGATCACCCATATCTGGGCCCCTCTGTATCCTACCCTAGACGACCG